GATGGCAACTGTGGGTCTCAACCAGTTAAAAGATTTTAGATGTTGGATTGCTGATTTCTGTGATATAGAGGCTGTGTTCTTGGTCAGTTTAATTCAGCATGCATTTTTGAGTATCCAGTGGGTGCCTATCACTGTACGAAACCTATGGATGCTACAAAAGACATGAGCCAACCAACAATACAAAAGGCAGAATAGGGGCGTCTGGGCGACTCAGTCAGGGGAACATCTGACTCTTGATTTCAGCTCAGGTCATGATCCCAGGGTTGTGGTATCGAGCCCCGTGTCAGGCTCCAAGCTGTGGAGCCTGCTTGGGATTCTCTCTCTCTCCCTCTGCCCCTCTCCCCCACTCACATAAGGCACCCAGGGGTTCCGCATGATAGAAATTTGTGAGGGTGTTTTGTTTCAGTTTGGCTATCATAATGATTAGGGGACCCCACTGACAGTTCATAAACAGGAATCAGGAATACTAGACATCTGTCAATACTAGACAGTTCCACACATCAAAGATTTGTACCGTGCCCTACATGACTCTTTAAAGGTTCTTTATTGTTGTATAACACAATTACAGGAAAATGCACAGATCATAAGTGTGTTACAGCTCGGTGAATCTCCACAAACTGAACACCCCCTAGTGCTGAGGATAGTCCTATACCTATCCTAACTTCTAACAGCACATATACATTTTGCATACTTTTGAACTTTACATAAATGGACCCATGGCTTGTAAATGAATCACTACGCATTTGCAGAGCTGAACTATCTCTTCACAATTATGTGACTCCAGCAAAAACTAATTCTGCCCAAATTTATTATACATTGCATATTCCAAGAATGCAGCTAGCATATAACTGTAAATTGAGGGATGCTTTTTTGTTTCGTTTTGTTTTTTAACTCAGAACTTCACCAAGAGTTCATGGCACCGATAGCGATACTTTTTCCTGGTTTTTGAATTGTTGATACAACACGATTGTGTCAGTGTTCCTCTGAAGCTGCTGGATTCCTGGTAACGCTATGTGTAGGTGCAAACACACATAAAGTGCAGATTGCTTCTTTAGGTGCAGAAATAGCTGCGCCAATATTTATTAGTCAGCTTGTGATAGGTTGTACCGCAGTAACAAACTCCAACAATTTCAGTGGCTCGCAACAACAAGCTGTATTTTTTATTCATATGTACATCAGGTGAAACCCGATGCACATGTCTTTAGTCTGAGTGCCAAAGGAGCAGACCCTGTCTGGAACACGCTCTCCTTATGGCAGAAGGAAAGAACGGCAGAGCCATATGATGGCTTTTCAAGCTCTGCCCGAGTGTGGCACTTCCATTCACATTACACTAGCCAAAGCAAATCATGAAGCAAGCCTGACATCACTTGGGTGAGGTGCTGCAAGCCACATGCTATCAGGTTGGCATGTATAATTCTGTGATGGAGAAGGCAGGAAATAATCAGGAGTCATGATAATACAATGTACCATATATACTGAAATGCATATGCATATTTTTTTGTAAATTGTATTTCTTTATTTCACCTTTATATTCCAATAAGGGCTTATATTGCTTTGTTTTTAAAGTATATGTGAGAGTAGATTATATTCTCTTTGATTTCCACTTCAGGAGAGAGGAGTGTTATGCTGCAGAAGGAGATGTTGGTTCTAAGGGGTTGGGAATTAGTGGTCTGACCCAATCATGGTAATTTTATTACCTTTGCAATGATTGACTTAAGAATAGATACAGGTTGCGATCCTGACCAAGGAGATCCAAGAGGAAGCCTGTGGAGAGGGACTTCTGGGAAGTCCCTTCCGAGAATTCGCTCTTTAAGAAAAACATAAGAAGAAGCTACACACATCATTGTGTATGTTTTTGTGATCACATCATATGTGATATGTTTTTGAACCATGACAGTTATCTTGAACCCATGAAGAGAAAATGCAACACACTGAGAGTGGCAAAGTGGAAAAATAAAAAGAATCTGAGTACTTGAGCCACTGAGGTTTCTTGAAAGTGCCTTATTAGAAGCTCCTGTGTAGCTCAGTTGGTTGAGTGTCTGACTCTTGATTTCAGCTCAGGTCCCGATCGTGAGGTCGTGAGATCAAGCCTCATGTCAGGCTCTGCTCTGGCAGCGAGGAGCCTGCTTGGGATTCTCTCTCTTTCCCTCTCTCTACCCCTCCCCTGTATGCTTTCTCTCTCTCTTTCAAAATAAATTTTAAAACTTTTTTTAAAAGTGTATTGGGGCACCTGGGTGGCTCAGTTGGTTAAGCATCCGACTCTTGGTTTTGGCTCAGGTCACGATCTCACAGTTTGTGAGTTCCAACCCTGCATCAGGCTCAGGGCTGACAGCGCAGAGCTTGCTTGGGATTCTCCGTCTCACCCTCACTCTGCGCCTCCCCTGCGCGCGAGCTCTCTCTCTCAAAACAAGTAAGTAAACATTTTTTTTTTCTTTAATTTTTTTTTTCAATGTTTATTTATTTTTGGGACAGAGAGAGACATAGCATGAACGGGGGAGGGGCAGAGAGAGAGGGAGACACAGAATCGGAAACAGGCTCCAGGCTCTGAACCATCAGCCCAGAGCCCGACGCGGGGCTCGAACTCACGGACCGCGAGATCGTGACCTGGCTGAAGTCGGACGCCTAACCGACTGCGCCACCCAGGCGCCCCAAGTAAACATTTTTTAAAGTGTCTTATGTTTGAACACCTTGTGTGAAATAATGCATTTTTCTTATATTGAAGAAATCTGTAGTTGACTTTTTTTACTTGCAGTTGAAAGTATTCCACAATGATCATGTGGAATGGGAAGTCTGGGTGCAGAGATACTGGTTAGTAGGATATTGTAACCGTCCAGGCAAGAGGTAATGAGGACTTAAATTAGGGAAAGGTCTGTGTACATCCATGGTGCTATGCTGGTAAATGTTTAACAACCAGCTCTCGGTCAGGGTGGAGGGAGGTACGAGCTGTTTTGTAGCATTTGCTGATTTCTACGGTGTAAATATTGCCAATTTTAAGCTGTCAAGAGTTTGACAACTGGATCTTTGCAAGTTGGTGCCAGTTGGCTCTAGCACACAGCTGGCTGTGGGGTTAGAAAACCAGGGCAGATACAAAAGACTCCGCAGAAGGAGAACTGGTAAGACTTCAGATTATGCGAGCAATACAGAAGTTGTAATCTGACAGGCAAACGGAAATTTTACTTGTCTATGTGACTTCATTTCTGTGTTTCAGATTCCAGAGGGGAAGACCGAAGCATCCCACAACCAGGACACTTCCCAGAAAGTACCTTAGGAGACACAGCACTGCTTTGGAGAGAGATTCTACAGCCCTCAAAGAAGTATTATAAATTAATTTTATGGCTAACACACTGTACAGAGAGGCAATAAAATGGAGCTATGATAAAGCGGGTGTCTCTGGCACTGAGCCCAGGAAAAGGCAGGGTGAACATGCAAGACATCACAGTGTCTGAGAGCCCGTATAGGCAAAACCCTGGAAGCTGATGCTGGAGGGAGTCGGGGTGGAAGCACGTGGCAAGGAAAGCAGCATTGGCCAGAATGAACACGCTAGTTAGGGCCAGCCAAAGTGGAGAAGCCATCGCTATTCATCAATCTATCGCTTTCTCTGCTTATTCAACCACAATTTAGGAACAGTCTGCTAAATACTGGGTCCTAGGCTAGGTAGTTGCTCAGGATACACAAAATGGATTCTCCCAGACCTCAGTTTGTCACAGGTAAGATAAACAGGTAACCTGGATTAACGGCAAAATACAGGATCATGGAATACTGTATTCTGATTTAAAACTAAATGTGCATCAAGCTTAATTTTTGTCTCTGCAGTGAAATTCGGAAGACTAAGAGAGGGCCCTGTCGACTCAGCCCTGGCGTTATTCAGCATTTACTCTGAATTTCTGTAGTATTCATTTCTATTGCTGTAATGTTAAATCAATGTGTTTCATAAAAGTCAACAAGATCAGAAAGACTTGGCTATTAATTAGAAGATAAAAAAAACATTGGCCCTGGGGGGCCTGGGGGGCTCACTCAGTTAAGCATCTGACTCTTGATTTCAGCTCAGGTCATGATCTCACAGTTCGTGAGTTCAAGCCCTGCCTCGGGCTCTGTACTGATGGCACAGAGCCTGCTGGGGATTCTCTTTCTCCCTCTCTTTGCCCCTCCTCTTCTTGTTCTCTATCTCTCAAAATAAATAGACACACTTAAAAAAAATTTTTTTTAAATACAAAAAACCATTGACCCCATGAATGCTATTTAAGGTTGCCAAGCACCCCAAAGCCATAGCTAAGAATTTTTCTACATTGCCTCTAGGAAGGCAATTCTGCAGGAAAAAGCTCCCACTTTTGCATCAATGTAGCCCAAGACCTTCATCTCAGGCATGTGTAGCTAAAAAGAACCTGTTCTTTGAGTCACTGTTTTTATCCAAATGTTATCTCATGCCAAGCAGTCCCTTATTTTGTTTCCTGCTACTCAGATGCCAGGTTATTTGATCTGGCTTGTTCTTAGAAAAAAAATCAGTAGCGTATATAATGGTATCATGAACATTCTTCGGTTTTTTTGATTAAAAAAAAAAAACCTATCCAACCTGTAAAGATACATTTACTTATGTAAATGAGAGATCCAGGAAGTAGGTTTTACTTCAGGTGTGGCTGATGGAGATAGTCAAATGATGTCACAGGGACCTGGTTTCTCTCTCTCCATCTTTCAGTTCTGCATCTTCCTTCTCAGGCTGGCCTCCCCGCTCATGGTGACAATACAGCTGCTGCAGCTCAATACACTCCTCCCAGGTATGAGAACAGCAGAAAATAGAGACCGTCTATTTCTATTCTATCCAGTTCAAACAAAAAGGCTGGACCTAACTTTCACTAGCCAGAATTAGGGCAGGTGCCCCTCCCTGACCCAATCACACTGGCCAGGACACAGGCTGGTTTAAACCTAGGTCTAATGCCATCCTCGTTGTTAGCAGATGGGTCAGCCTCACTGGAATCACAGGAACATTGAGTAGAGATGGAGTCTATTCCTTTTTTTTTTAACTGAAGTATAATTGACATATGACATTATATTAGTTTCAAGTGTACAACAATAATGACTTGATATTTGCATACACTGTGAAATGAACACCACTAGACTTAGTCACCATCTGTCACCATACAAAGTTACAAAATTCGAGTGTATTTGTAAATGCAAATTCAGAACTATTATTATTAACAGGGTAAATGGAAGCACCAGGATATGAAGCACCCAAATTCATCATTGTTCACCACTGTCATGTACTAAACTGATGTATAAAAGCTCCATATTAACCTCTTAACCCCTGGGGACTACATGAGTCTTCCCCTGGTGTAGACAGACTTGAACTGGTGGAGAAGACCTGACTTCTTTGTCATCATGGCTCTTATTCCCAATGCTCTTACCAAAATCCAGGGCTGAGGCAAGGGTCCTGAGATTAAAGACACACACACACACACACACACACCTACATACATACGTGTGTGTACATGTAGAGAGAGAAAGAGATTTTTAAGGAATTGGCTCACACAACTGTAGGGGCTAGCAAGACCAAAATCCATACAGCAGGTCAGCAGTCTGGAAACTCAAGCAGTTCTTCCATGTTACAATCTTAAGACAGAATTCCTTCCTATCCAGGAAGCTTCAATTTTGGCTCTTAAGGCCTTCAACTGATTGGGTGAGGCCCACCCATATTATGGATGGAGGGTAATCTCTTTCACGTCAAGTCAGTTGATTGCAAATGTTAATCACATACCAAATACCTTCACAGCAACAGGCTGTGTCTGGGCACCATGGTCTAGCACCATGGTGGGTCAAGTGGGCACCCACCAAACAACTGGGCACCACGGTCTAGCCAAGTTGATACATAAAATTAACCAGCACAGTGCTTCAGGTCGTTTGTGATGTCATCCTCCCAGGTACTTGATTCCAGCAAGCATGGTCTCCAGCAAGGAACACAGAATGCAGGAGTCCAGTTCCCACCCTGACCTACAGCCAGGAAATGACCTGAAAGAGAGAAACTATATGAGAGATGGTGGACCAGAAATCTGGGAGGAGCCTCAGCTCTGAGCATTGACTTCCGAGTCACTATCAGGCTTGGATTGCCTACTTCCAAACTTCATGAGGAAGACGAAAAAACTTCTATAATATTTAAGTCATTGAATTTTAGGGGTGTTTCTGTTATGCGCAGCTTAGCTCAATTCTATATAAGACCAAACAAACAAACAAACAAACCCTAAGAAAAATAAAGAAAACATAACTCATTTACAAAAACAAAGGGTGAAAGAATGAAGCATTACTTTAATGAAAGCTTAGTTCAAGATGACAGAAATAAGACTAGAGAGATTTTTTTACTATAAATATGAATGTTTTAAAAATCTTTGTGAAGGGCTCTCAGATGAGGTCAAAACCATTTTCAATCATATTTTTTCAAGAAAGGCACATTGTTCTCAGAAAGAACTTAGGGTGTGTGAATATCAAGCAAAGTAAAATTCAAGCCAGAAAACAGTAAAGAATTAAAGAGTGTTATTTAATATTGGCAGTCTCTATTTTAAAAACATCCACAAGCTTTTATGCACCGAATAACATCATACGCATGCATGCATGTGCGCGCGTGCGCACACACACACGCACACACACACACAAAGTTCGCACATCGTTATAACTTAGTACAGTGCCAAGCCCAGATGGTTTCACAGATGATTTCTTTCAAAGCTGAAAGAAAGCAATAACTTCAACACCTCAAAATTTGTTTCAGTAGCTAGAAAAGGACATATGTCTACCAATACATTTTACAAAGCCAAAAAGATCCTGAAAACAAAATGTACTATGAATATTGTTGCAAAATTCTAAATAAAATACATACCAGGAAACTTAATCAGGAAGTACATTAAAATAGTACCACTGCAATGCTGCTAATTAAAGTTTATTACAACAATGCCAGGATATTTCAGTATCAGGAAATCTATTGTCATAATTTAGCAAGTTAATTGGTAAAAGGAAAAAAGTATATCTATCTATCTATCTATCTATCTTGATGTGAGCCCGAAAGTCTGCTTTTATGAATTTCAAAAGCTATATCTGATTTTTAAAAGTTCTTGGTAAACTAATAATAGATGAATTATTTCTTAATAGAATATAAAAATATCTGGTTCATACTAGCAGCCAACGTATTATTTAACAGTGAAACAGAGTAACTCCCACTATAATCTTCATCAACCTCATAAATAAAACTTATAGGGCCGCCTGGTTGGTTCTGCCAGTTAAGCATGGGACTCTTTATCTCGGCTCAAGTCATGATCTCACCGTTAGTGGGTTCAAATCCAGTGTCAGGCTCTGTGCTGACAGCACAGACCCTGCTTGGGATTCTCTCTCTCCTTCTCTCTCTGACCCTCCCTGCCTCATGTGCACACACTCTCTCTCTCAAAATAAACCTTAAAAAATAAAAAATAAAATAAACAATCATAATAGCATCCTCAAGTAACTGTTATAAAGAGATCTCTAGAAACTATTGCTGCTTTATTAAACTGCAAAAGCAATGTCCTTACTAGGCACAAAGCAGATCTGTAGGTGCCTCCCTCATTTCCACCCCACAGGCTACCTTCTTCCAACCAGATAGCTCCCCCAGGCCCTTTAAAAAAAATTCCAGAGACCCTAGTAATGATAGAAACAAGGCAGATGAATAGCCCTTTAGCCACGGCTGTTCTCATGGTTAATGCCCAGCTCCTCCTGGAGGTGCCGGAGCGGTAGGTGGGTCTCCCCAGCATCCCCCTCTTCTGACCACAGGCTCAGGGTGCTGAGGGGGCTCTTTCCAGAACCTCTCCTGGAGTCCAGCCCACCCAGACCCCAGGCCTAATCAATGGCCTTCCCAAGCCAGGAGGGTGCACAGACTGATCCAGGGCAGGTCTAGGCAAGTGGGATGCACAGAGCTGTTATTTTACAGCTTAAGCATCATGAGAGGGTCTGATGACTCAGCCAGCAATTTCTTGAGCCAACATCATCCATGTGGCAAGGAACTGAGGCTAAGGGTATTCAGAATTAGCTGTGGGGGCAGAATGGGGTACAAATGCACCTCAAGCCGGCCTCCACTGGGTTCATGAGATCCACGGGCCATTTGGAACAAAGAAAAGCTTGCGATCCAAAAATGCCAGAGATGTGTGCATAACCCTCCTCCCCAGTCACCACCCGCCTGTGATATGGAGGCCCCAGAGGACTAGACGGGCGCCATCTGGTGGCGCTCCGTGGAGGTGTGCGCGACCCCAGTAACTTAAATCACGCTGAGTACCGGCTCCCTGCCTGGAGGCGGCAGCGCACAACTCCTAAAACACCAGGGGGAGCCATTCTCAAAGAATCAGAAGTGAAGTCGCCCCTTGGAGTGAAGCGGTGGGTGGTCCTGACTCTGTCGGCCTTTGAGGTACCCACAACCCAGCGGAGGGGAGGGTCACCCCTGAGCTGGTTCTTGAATGAGGTGAGGAAGGGGAGAAAGGGCCTTCCTGACAAAGGGCATGTGACCGGGACAAATGTTGTAGAGGGGCTTGGCACGTTCAGTGGCTAGAGTGTAAGTGCCTGGGGGCCAGGTGGGAGATGGGAATAGCTGTGAAGGGTCCCCAGCGCCTGGGCGCCTGGCAGGGAGTTTGGACTTTATCCTGGGCCAGGCATTTTAAATCTAAGTAGCATGCTGATGTACATGGTCAGGCCAGCACTGTGTTATAAGAAAATGTGAATTGGAATGCTGTCAAGAGGACACTGTGCTCTCACCAGACCCCACCGCTCCCTGTCGTCTGCCCCTACCCTCAGCTTCATCGGTATACACCACTTCCCCAGCCCCTGAAGCGTGTGGGTTTATGACTCTTGTAAGGTCATGGGGTGCTGGTTCCAGATGGCACACCCAGGAACTGACAGAAAAGAGACATATCTGCCAGTGGCAGGAGGGTGTGTGAGAAATAAGCCCACTGACCCAATCAAAGGAGGGACGCAGAGACTTGGAGAACAGTGAAGCGAGGCTTTAAGCAACGTTCTTGCAAGAGCCGGTATCTGATGGACGGGCACACTCGGGGCAGTTGCAGCAGGCAATTTATCTCCCAACATGCAAGTCCCTCCCCTGATTTCTCACTGGCTGAGTACTACAGAGGTGACAGCCTTACCTGGACATTGTCTATGCCCATGTAAGGCAAAAAGTAGTCTAATTGGAACAAATGTACATTTCCTGAGGTGACTTAAAGACTTTCAGTCCCGGGGCGCCTGGGTGGCTTGGTCGGTTAAGCGTCCGACTTCGGCTCAGGTCATGATCTCACGGTTCGTGAGTTCGAGCCCTGCGTCAGGCTCTGTGCTGACAGCTCAGAGCCTGGAGCCTGTTTCAGATTCTGTGTCTCCCTCTCTCTCTGACCCTCCCCCGTTCATGCTCTGTCTCTCTCTGTCTCAAAAATAAATAAATGTTAAAAAAATTTAAAAAAAAAAAAAGACTTTCAGTCCCTCCTTTATTCTTTGGCACGTGCTCATTGCAGAGCCCATGAAAATAAGCCTCTGAGATGGAGGGGGAAGAAGAACCAGGAAGTGAAGTGCCTCCGGGTTTGGGACTCCACTGGGGGGAGAAGGGGAGGTGGCTTCATATATATTTCCAATAGGTTGTAAACCTATTGTTAACTAGACAGCACAGTTTTTGTTTGGAATTTCTGAAAATGAATTACCTCACTCCTCACAGGTGTGACATCAGCCTCTAATCCTTCACACTGGATGATGTGGGGGCGGGGGTCAGGTGCTGCCCCGCCCCCCCCATCATCATCACTATGTAATGACATGGCCTTGAGAGGCCCAGGCTCTCAAGGAAAGGCCGCCCCCTGGCCCCTAGCCAGGCCCTGGACACGAGGCACAGCAGTACTGTCTTCCTGTCCTTGCTTCGGATCAACACTGTCTGGGTCGCCTCTGTTTTAAAGATTGCCTCTTCCTCCCTGGCTCAGGATTTCATTCTCTTTGACTCTGTCCTCCCTCAGGGAAGCACTGGATGTTTTAGAGGGAGACCAGACCTCCCCCCATGAAGGGTCAGAGGTACACCAAGGCACTCAAACCGCTAGCCCTCAGGCAGCCATACGCAGGTTCGAGGTACAGAAGGGCCGAGGTGGCAGCCAGTGTGCCTTGGAAGGGGGAAAGAGTGCCATCTGGTGGCCATCTCTGAAACACAGAGGACTGGAATGCATTGTATTTTGTTCTGATGCTGTCCCAAGATCTTGAGCAAAGTAGAAAAAAAGCCAGAGAGTAGTGGAGTACCTAAGGGCCACCAGTATCTAAGGGCCAGAGCGGAAACAACAAATTCAAAACATTCCCTCTTCTCTGGCCACAACTGACCTCCCCTCCGTTCCCCTGTCACGCATCCCCCTCCAATGTTATTCCTCTGTCTGAATGCCCCTCTCTCCCTCCAGGCAGGAGCGTGCTCTTCCTCGGAGACCAGGCTCAAAGGTGATCTCTCCCATGTTCCAGTGTAGCTAATGCCTTCCTCCTGTGCTCTCCTAAACATAGCCAAACCAGTCTTGCACTCCTGGCTGTGCGGGGTCACTCCTTGGCTCTGATACTGTCTCCCACACCAGGCGCAGTATTCTTCCTTGAGGAGTGCTAAGAAGCTTCTCATCCCTCGACTGGTGTCAGAGTGAGTCCTGTGGGTCAAATGCCGTGAGAGGTGTTCAGAGGAGTGAGATCCCAAGTTCTCATTGCTGTCCCCCCCCTTTTTTTAATTTTTTAAAATATTTATTTGTTTTTGAGAGACAGAGAGACATAGTGTGAGCAGGGGAGGGGCAGAGAGAGAGAGAGAGAGAGACAGAATCCAAAGCAGGCTCCAGGCCCTGAGCTGTCATCACAAAGCCTGACGTGGGGCTCGACCTCACAGACCGAACCGTGAGATCATGACCTGAGCTGAAGCTGGATACTTAACTGACAGAGCCACCCAGGTGCCCCTAGAGTTATTGAAAAGTAGACTTTGATTAATTGTAACAAACTCCAGCAAACTCTGGAGTAAC